GAGAGTGTTTGGATACCAAAATAGATTATTCAGGGAAAATATGGAATTTCCTTTTCAGAGAACTCTAATACTCAGGAAGATACCTTTTGTCTGTGTTAATTCCTTTGTTTGTGCCTGGAGCCTGGACTACAAGCCAAGTAGGCTTTTAAGAATTCCTTTGACATAGAAGTCAGGATCAGGTGACTAGATACAAACTTTAGATAAGCTGTATAACATAGACCACTTTAGACAGAAAATTACTTAGAAATATAGTGACTTTTGACATTGCAGAGGGCACTGGTGATCATGTGAAGTCTCAGACATGCCAGTGGTGACTTAGTGGGATCCATGGGTTTCTTCTAACTCTTCCTTTTGGTCTCCCCAGAAACATATGCTGAAAGAAGGGAAAGGCCGGATGCTGCAGGCCATCAGCCCAAAGCAGAGTCCCAGCAGCAGCCCCACTCGTGAACGCTCCCCCTCCCCCTCTTTCCGATGGCCCTTCTCTGGCAAGACTTCCCCTTCTTCCTCCCCAGCAAACCTCTCCAGGCACAAGGCTGCAGCCTATGATATCAGTGAAGATGAAGAAGACTAATTTTTCAGCCCTCCTTTCCTCTCCCCTCCCTTTGTCCCATCACCTTCAAAAGCTCTGTTGAATTCCAAATTGTGATCCCAACAATAAACCTAAGGACGGCTACAAAGGAAAGACAATTGGGCCAGAGGACCTCAGACGGGGGGACCAGACAGCCCATTCTCCAAGAGACATCACCCACCCAAGAAGGAGGCTGACTACACCCTAGAGGCCTTTTCTGCATCCATATACCCTCCTCATTGACTTTGCTTTACTGTTTATGTTCATATGATCTTGACAGGGAAATTACCATTTTTATTAATTTTTAAAAATTAGTCTTTAAAATATAGTAAATAGAACTAATTATTTTTTTTTTGCCCCCGAGGAGTGGGCAGAAAGAGGTGGTATAATACCCAGAGGCCTTTTCTTCCCAATAACACTACAAGTGTTTGCCTTCTGTTCTGAGGCAAACTGGCTTGCCAAATAGTTCAAGCAATAAGCCATGCTGATGGGTGATTTCGGGGTGGGGGGTGGAATATAATTTTTATTTCCTTGAAAAAATGCTAAAAGCTGGGTAATAGTTACAAATCCCTAACGGTACTGCTGGCACATGTGTCAATGTGGCTGTGGGAGAAGGAGGTCTAAGCCAAACTTACTCCCTGAGGAGTTTCTTGTTGGACCCACTGGGGTCCATGAAGACACTGATGGGGTTGGCACCAGAGCACATGGCATCAGCTGCGGCTTTTCCGGCTTTTCCGCTGTATTCATCTCAGAAGACTCTGTGGCCCGTTACTTGGGAGCTCTTGTCAGTCTCTTCCCTGTAATCTACCGCTAAAGGAAGGAACACTTTCAGGGTTACTGTGATTGTGGAGGGGGTGGGACAATGCTCAGTCCTACACAGTCAATTTAGATTCATTTTCCCCCCAGAGTAAGTCCCTGTCCCTGCTACTCCTATTTCTATGCTTACTACCTAGCTTTTTACAAAGGATACTTTGTAAATGTCTGTAATCTGAACATGATTTGTTAATCCATGCTGCTCACAGCCATAGTGAATAGAGATTTGCATAGACCATGGACACGACCGCATAAGGAAATACCCGCCTTCCTATCTTGAACTCTGCCCTCTTAAGAATGTTCTTGACTGGAACCAGTGCTCCACACGGTGTTTGCTTTCCTCTGAGAGTGGCAGCTGGCAGGGACTTACTTTCTTCCACGGCCCCTCCAGCGAGGCACAAAGCAAGGGCTCACATTACGAGAATAGGGTAGGTTCTCTCTCTCCCCCACATGTGCCTGCCTGGTGGTTGGCAGGGGGATCACCCCTTAAATCTCACCTCAGAGAATGCTGAAGCCTCACGCTTGCTATTGAGCTTGAGCTCATCTTACACCTCCAGCAGCCTACAGCCGCGTGACTCAGACCATCGTCCGTCAGGAATCTTGTAGCTGTGTTCAGGGGAAGACTGCTGTCCAGGCCCCACCCCGTCACTCATAAATACCCCTTGTGGGGGTGGAGTTTTAGTGTTTTCAGCTAAGAAAACCACATTTTATCTTTTCTTGCCCCTCTGCTAGGGCTGTGAGCATCTCAGACATCTCCTTTTCTGGTAAAACCTGCCTGCCTGCCTGCACACCAGGACTACCTAGGTTCTGAAAACTCGGATCACCCAGAGGCAGAGCACGGCAGAGTAGAGGGACAAAGGGGGGGAACCTCTTGTCCTGATGGCTTATGAAAACTCACTTCTAACTCTTCTCATGAAGTGCTATTTTACTCTCAAATCTGGTTTACATGAGCTTCGGCTTGGAATCCTTTTCTTTTTAAAGGTGAAATGAATCTTGGCCTACATTACTCAGCTTCATAACTTTTCTGCCTTCTTTGGGAATTCTGTCTATTTCAGTCTTACTCTCCCTGGTATAGAAAGGCAATGAAGTCAGCACTGAAGCCCACACTTGTTCCCTTAAAGTGCACATCTTATCCGGTGTATTTGGAAAGGGAGATGCCCAAAGTGTGGTTTTCCTCCCTGTAGTCACTCCTCTCACGTTCGTTATCTGGGTCTCAAATCTTTGGGCCCTGCTCCTCTGCTCTGTCAATGGGCTGCTTTTGGCATGCTGACCCTTGCAATATGACCTCCAGGCCGATAAGCTCTGTGAGATGGCTAGGGCCGGCATGTACACACGTTCTTAGGAAACTCCCTTGCCCCTTTTGGTGAGCCTCTACACTACAGCTTCAGTCGCCCAACACTAGTATATCTTCAAATACTTTTGCCTGAAAGCAAACACTTTTAAGGTGTGGCATGTTAGCTGCTTTGAGATCACTGTGACCCTAGGTGCTGGATAAAAATGGGTGGATGGGAGAAACTGTTGGTATGATGCATTATTTGATAATTTGTGCCTAATTAAATGTGGTTGGCACACCACAACCATACCAGTGACTTGTAAATCTTCTAACATTAATGTTTGAGGTTGTGGAGCTGTCAGCCTGAATAGGCCAAATGAGGCAGAGATGGGAGAGCCTTCAAAGTTGGATGGCCCCAGGGCCTGTGTGCAAGACACAAAGAGAATGGAGAAGGAAGTCCTGTCAGTGCTAAGGAGGCGCCATTTCAGCAGTTTCCTTGCGATGGGCTGGGCAGAAAGATTGCTCTCTGCATATACTAGACTCAGTAGCACTTGAAACTTCAGAGGGATAGGAATGGATGTGTTTACTGCTATAGTTGCTTCTGACAGCTAGAGTCAAAGGCCACTATTTTGCTGAGGTTTGGGTAAGAAAGTCGGGGATGTGAGGAAGTTGAAAATCTAGAAGAGGAGAAGAAATATGAATGAGGTCAAGAGAATTTTTGACCTTTTCTGATTGCTGATAACTTCTTGGGCAGCTCCTGAGTTACATTTTTTAAATTTTACTTGTGACCACACAGCTGGTCAGGCAGCCTCTGGGTATTCCCTCTACAACAGCCCTTCACAGTGCTTTTGTTGCTCTGTGCCTGTATTCTCTTGATTTGTGGGTAGCTTTCGATTTTCTGGAGCTCATTGCCTTCTTAATCCTGTTCCAGATCCATATTTAAAGTCTTTCCAAATCAATTATACTTCGCTGCTTTTCTTTAATTCCCTAAAAGCCATAGCTGCTATCTTTTCTGTCAGCACACACTCTTACCAATACATATAGGAAAAACAAAAGAAAAGCTCCCTTAATGTTTTTAACTAATGGTATTTTTTTTAAGCTTACCAATATAAGTATTTTTGAAGGTTATATTTTTCAAAGTCATACGATGATTGTTTTTGTTTTCTCTCATAGAATAGATTGTCATGGGATAGAGAGTAGTCCCTGGCTTCTATTTTTCCAAATAAGTAGAACATGTTCTTTGGATTATGCTATTAGATGTTAATTTTCTTTAAAAGAAGAAAGATTTTCTGTCTGCCAAATTTATATATTAGTACTCAGATTGGGTAGAAAACAAAAGTGCGAGGTTTAACACTGAGGATGAATCAGGTTGTGTTTCTTTAGGTTTGAGTAGGATTTCCCACCCTTTTTTGGAAGCACTTGACTGTTTTGAACACAGAGAATTGGTTGGTTGGATTACTTGTATTGAGGAACCTGGGTGTGGAGGGTGGGGAGACAAAGTCTTGGAAAGAAATGCTGGCCTCGGCATGAAAGTTAACCCTATCACCAGTGCCGACGTCTGCGGAATGTTTTCCTCCACTAGTGTCCAGTATATTGTTTTCCTGTCTGAGTATCATTAATTTGTTCAGAGTTATTCTGGCTTTTGTCATTTAGCCAAATAAAAGCAAAATGGTTTTACCTAATGTTTTATTTTCTGTGTTTTTTACCTGATATACATGTGTATGATACATTTTATGTATTTGGGGCTTTTTAAAAAAAGATTTTTATTGATTTCAGAGAGGAAGGGAGAGGGAGAGGGAGAGGGAGATAGAAACATCAATGATGAGAGAGAACCGTTGATTGGCTGCCTCCTGCCCGCCCCAAAGTAGGGATTGAGCCCACAACCTGGGCATGTGCCCTGACCGAGAATAGAACCGTGACCTCCTGGTTCATAGGTTGACACTCAACCACTGAGCCACACCGGCCGGGCATATTTGGGGCTTTTACTTATACTCTCAATTCCTTTGCTTTTGCATCCTAATTTATCTCCTCAAAGTCAAGCTCCCTGACCATATGATAGGGGGATTCCTTTTGCAGCTTGGCACAGAAGACTTAAAAAGCCATTGTCCCACAAAGGGAGGCTGACCCAGCTCTCCCAGGTCTAATGTCATCAGTGCTCTAACGACACATCTGTAAGGAAAAGAACACCTTTGATCTATTCTTAAGGGACCTGCTTTCTTCAAAACTGTGGGCTTATACTGCTTTGCCTGACTGAGTTCTCTCATTCTTATACCATAAGCTTTACCAATATACAAGTTTTAAGGGCTAATCGTGGCACCCATGGGGGTAATGTGCCCGATTATAGAGTTTCAAACTCCATTCTGTTTGTCTATTATGAAACTAAATTACCTTCCCCAGGCAAGACCCAAAACAATCTCATCCTATTGCATGATTCACCTTCATCTGTATAGTCCAGTGTAATTTGCCAGCTTGTACTGACATGGAATCCTTCCCCATGTGGTCAATGTTGAGGGACAGTGAAGAAATCGTGTGCCCATCTCATGAGTACAGTGTCTCATTGTCCAAGCCGTCCGCCTCAGGCTTTGAGGTTCGAATCCAGGTCTGGAGAAGGGAAAGGTTCATATCCAACCTTGTCGTCTTTCCTTCTGTAGTATCTCCGTGTCAGCACAGTCAGCAGGAAAGTCTCCAGTATCAGGAGGTGGCAATTCATCACTGCAGTGCGGGGTGAAATGTAAAGTTGGTTATAGTTATACTAAATTATAGCGGTGGTATCCCACCAGCAGCCCTGGCATGTCAGTGCGACAACACTTTCTGTAATTTCTCCTCACACCAGCACCTAGAGGCTGTCGTGCGTGAGTAACACAGCAGGTTAATAGTAAAGCCCGAACCAGAACTTGGCTCTCAACCTTCTGCAACCTGAGGCTAGCATTAAAACTCATTTCTTTTGTGTGTTTTATCAGCATGATCTCTGCTTCCCAACCACACCCATTCCTCTCCCAGGAGCTAAGGATGAACCCATGGCTTTCTTGGTTGGCTGTCAAGGCTGGCCTCAAGCTGTGGAACTGTAGCTCTCCTCTGTGTGATCAGAGAAGGCACAGTCTCCTTAAATCTCTGCGGAGATCTTTGGAGATCCCTTTCTGAGTATTCGGAGCAGCAGCTTGCCTGGCCCAACCTCTGATCTAAGGTCCTCTCTTCCCTGACCCACCTCCTCTCACCCATCCTGGAAAGAGATAGGAACTTCTATGTGCTCACCTTGAGACCTGATTTTAGAGGAAAAGGGAGGCGAACAAGCAATCTGCCCGCCATTGGCCAACACCGAGAAGATGGATGGCTGCAGGGCGGTCAGGATGAGGAGCACCTGCAGAAGGGAAAAGAGAAGCAAGGGCAGAGTGGGCTCAGTGTCCATGGCGCTGAGGTCAGCTGGCCCGCTGCCATGCTTGTCCTGCTGCTGTGCATTCGGCCAGCCTTTAGATCGCTGCAGTTCCAGAGCGTTGATTAAAATGTGGTGACGTTTGTAATCTTTAGAAAAATTAGATAGAGCGTCGGCCTGCGGACTCAAGTGTCCCGGGTTCGATTCCGGTCAAGGGCATGTACCTGGGTTGCGGGCACATCCCCAGTGGGAGCTGTGCAGGAGGCAGCTGATCGATGTTTCTCTTGCATCGATGTTTCTAACTCTCTATCTCTCTCCCTTCCTCTCTGTAAAAAATCAATAAAATATATTTAAAAAAAATGTGGTGACGTTTGTAATCTTTAAAAAATTACAACCTCATCTTCCTACCCAATATTTTATTAGAGTTCCTGACAAGAAACAACAAAAACTGATTGGGGGGTTCAAGTTTATCCCCGTATTTCAGCCATGGCTGCTAATGAGCACTTAAAGAATAGAAAGGATGGATGATTAAGGAAGAGTCAGTCCATCTACTTCAAGTACCTGAGATCCCTGCCGATAGAATGATGGACGGTTCACTATTAAAGTGCCCTTTGAAGAATCTCTGCTGTGCCAGGGCTGGAGGCGAAGGGGAATGAGTGTTCAATGGGTACAGACTTTCCGTGGGGAAGATGAAAACCTTCAGGGGATGGATGGTGGCAATGGTTGCACAACAATGTGACTGCACTTAATGCTGCTGAACTGTACATATATAAATGGTTAAAATTGTAAAATTTATGTCATATATACATATGACACACACACACACACACACACACACACACACACATATATGTTATAACACAATAAAATAAAAAAAGAAGAAGAAAATAATCTCTATCCAGAGGCCCCAGGAGCACTATTTGCCTTAGTGCTTGTCTCCCCCCCCCCCCCCCCCCCCCAGGCAAGGCAGACCCAGCTTGTCCAGGCTTCCCCACAGGCTCAGCAATGACAGGCTTTTACCTGTGCCTGACCCTAAGGGCTTCTGCCCCTCTGTCCCTGACCCCATTTCAGGCTCATCTCTCTCTTCTCCTACCCCCTTCAATTCTACCTGCTATATGCCTAGAAATTCACATTTCAGAGGTATCTGCTTAGAGCAAATGAGAATTTATGTGAAACCACTCTTAGCTAAAATGCAGTTATTGTTTCTTGGAAGTAGGAGAAGGGCCCAGCAAGGAGACAGAAAGAATGGAGAGAGAAGGAAAACACAATATTGCATTTGGTGGAAAAGTTGTCTTTGGACTTGGAGAATGAAAAGTGTAAAAAGCAAACATGCTTTTGTGAGAACTTTCAGAAGAGGTGTGATGATGAGAGGCAGTGTGAAGAGAAGGAATGTGGGTTGGGAGTTAGACAGATCTGGGTTTAAATTCTAGCCGCGTTCTGTGTGCCTTGGAGCAAGTCTCATAACATCTCTGGGTCTCAGTTTTCTTATTTGTAAAATAAAAATAATAATGACTCCTAAGATTATTGTGAATATTTAAATGTAATGTACAAAGCCATGGCCAGGTGGCTCAGTTGGTTGGAGCATTGTCCCACATTCCAAAAGGTTGTGGGTTTGATTCCTGGTCAGGGCACATACCTAGGTTGTGGGTTTGATCCCCAGTTGTGCAACCAATCAATATTTCTCTCACACATTGATGGTTCTCTCCCTCCCCACCCCTTCCTCTCTCTCTCTCAACATATCTTTGGGTGAGGACTTTTTTTTAAAGTACTGTATGAAAAGTGCCTAGCACATGGTGTGAGTAGTTCATAGTTGTAGCTGAGATAATGCTCATACTGCTAGTGGTGATGGATGATAGGATTTTAGGAATAATCATAGAAAAGAAAAAAAGCAAAGACAGGAGCAGTTAAGGTTATGGGTTGAATTGTGCCCCCAAAACAGATATGTTGAAGTCCTAACCCCCAGTACCTCAGAATATGATCTATTTCAAAACAGCATCTTTGTTTTGGTTAACTAATTATAGGTCATTAATTAAGATGAAGTCATACCGGAATAAGGTGGGCCCTTATCCTTTTTTAAAAATATATTTTTATTGATTTCAGAGAAGAAGGAAGAGGGAGAGAGAGATAGAAACATCAATGATGAGAGAGAATCATTGATTGGCTGCCTCCTGCATGCCCCATACTGGGGATCGAGCCTGCAATCTGGGCACGTGCCCTTGACCAGAATCAAACCCGGGACCCTTTAGTCCACAGGCCGACGCTCTATCCACTGAGCCAAACCTGCTAGGGCAGTGGTCAGCAAACTCATTAGTCAACAGAACCAAATATCAACAGTACAATGATTGAAATTTCTTTTGAGAGCCAAATTTTTTAAACTTAAACTATATAGGTAGGTACATTGTTATTAACTTAATTAGGGCACTCCTAAGGCTTAGGAAGAGCCACACTCAAGGGGCCAAAGAGCCGCATGTGGCTCTCGAGCCGCAGTTTGCCGACCATGGTGCTAGGGCATTATTCTCATATGACTGATATCCTTATAAGAAGAGGCAAAGAGACAGATGCGTGAGGGAAGAAGGCCATGTGATGACTGCGGCAGAAGTAGAGTGAGGCAGCTGCAAGTTGAGGAAGGCCGAGATTGCTGGCAAACCTCCAGAAGCCGAGAAGAGGAAGGAAGGGTTCTCCCCTACAGGTTTCAGAGGGAGGACAGCCCAGCTGACATGTTGATTTTGTACTTCTAGGCTCCAGAACTGTGAGAGAATAAGTTTCCGTTGTTTTGAGCCACTCGGTGGCATTTTATCACAGCAGCCCTAGCAAACACAAAGCAAAAATAGCACAAACAGCAAAATCTGGGAAGGGGCAGGGATCACTTTCCAAATCTCACAGGAACCTAAGGCTTAAGGAGATTCCCAGACCCCTTTGAGCCTGTATTAGACTCACCTCCTAACCCCAATTATTTGTAGTTCTATTACGAGCCATCTTTTCTCTCTCAGGGTATAGTTACCTGGAACAGAGCAAATTTGGCCCCGATGTTCTGCTCGCCCAGGTGCAGCTTGGCTTGACGGAAAAGGATGGCCAGGCTCCAGAGAGCCAACAGGGTGGACACACCGAGGACAGTGTTGATCCACAGAGCCGTGCTCTGCTCAGAAATCTGGTGGCAGACCAAGTGGGAGTCAGTGAGGGGGACAAGCCCTTTCCCTCCCTTTTATTTCTTCCCCCAAGGGGATAACAATGCCATAGCCCTGGCTTATTCCAGTCTCCTCTCTCCCACCATAGTGCCCAAGCCTCTGTTCTAGGTCACTCTGTCCCCAGGTATCAGGGAATATTGGCTCCAGCTATTCCTTGTAGAGCTCAAAGGTACCAAATGAGCCTCGGAGTTCACTGCCCCTCACTCCTGGCTTACGTCTGCTGGCTCAAAGATGCCATCGGGGATGAGGAACAGGCCCACCAGGCCCAGGGTTATCCTGAGGAAGGCATACTGGAATGGGCCCAACATCAGCAGCTGGAGCTTCTTCCTGAGGGGAGCAGAGGGTTAGGAACATGGGCCCACAGACCACCCATCCCAAGACAATTCTCCTCTCCCTCACTGGGCTCCTGGGCCGAGGCTTGGCTGCCATCAGACACCAAAATGGTTAAATGGATGGGGACATAGGAAAAAGCTAGAATGTTAAGAGCACTGGCAACCCTTCTTCTTGCTTCCCACTCATTCCTAGACCAGAATGCTGCCTTTGAACAAGAACGATCAGTGGTAATTCAACCTCATTAACCAGATGAGCAGAGGGGGCAATAGCCTGGAGTTCAGTTTCCTCTGTGTGGCTAAACTTTGCAGGGGGCAGTGGCGTAACTGATGGGAACTTCGGAGTTCTTTCTCGGCCCCCCTTACCCCTGAGTGGGTGCCTAATGTGTGGGGTCCTGGCTGGGGATACCCACCCTTTTTTCATTGACTTTGTTCCATACAAGCCTAGTTCCAAGAGGTTTGAAGCAGAGCTGAGCGAACCAACCAGCAGACGCTCTTGGGAGAGAGAGTGCAGGAACTGGAACCGGTTCTTCAAGGGCTCCCCTCCCTCCCGTCTTACCTGGTGAGGTTGAGTTTGGGGCAGCAGGGGCAGCAGCAGCAGCAGGGGCCTGTGTGGATCATCATCGGGGTGTCCTTCAGTGTCCTCACTACTGCTTCCTTCCCACCAAAGCCTTGCACTATGACCAGCATCAGTAGGTAAAAGCACACCGCATAAAACCTGGAGTGGGGGAGAAGTGGGCCTGAGAATACACAGAGAGGAGGTGGCAGCTCGCTGAGAGGACAGCCTTTGCCGCCAAAGAAAGATGGACTGCGGAAACCAAGATGGCGGCATAGGTAAACACCGGAAATGGCTGCCTTGTACAACCACTTCAAAAATACAACTAAAAGACAGAACGGACATCATCCAGAACCACAGGAAGGCTGGCTGAGTGGAAATTCTACAACTAGAAGGAAAGAGAAAAGCATACAGAGACTCAGAGGAGGTGTGAAAGTAAAGTGCAGAGGTACGGAGGTGCATGTGGAAAGGGCTGGCAACTGAGGACATGGTTGTCTTTTTTAATCAGGAGGGAGTCTCAAGCTCCCGACTGCTCTGAACTCCAGTTCTGGGCGAGTCTCTGGGGACCCAGACTCATACGGGGAGAAACTGGACTGTCTGGCATCGGTCAGAACTCGAGGGCGGCTTTCTCTCAGAAATCCTTGCAGCAATTACCGGGACACTGAGACTCGGGGCCTCTTAGGGTAGGACTGGGGAGCAGCCATAGCTGTTTTCTCCTCCCTGTTGATTCCCTGAGACCCCGCCCCACCCAAGCTGTGCACAGAGACTTTTGCATATGAAAGGCCTGGCCCTTTGCAATCTGAAAATTACCTAACAAACTGCAGCTGGGTCAGAGAGACCCAGAACTTCCAAAAGAAGGCCCAAGGCCCCACAGCAGCTTGCATTGCTTCACAGCTGGGCCTCATCTGGTCACCTCCAAATCCCAAACAAAAAAGAGGAACCTGCAGATCTCTCCGTAGCTCCTGCTGGGTAGCCTCAGGCAGAGGCTAAATTAGCACCTCCTTAGAGATCCAAGAGCCAGTGTACCCAGTGGTCAGAGTGGGACCATCCAGATTACAACTCCTCAGATCCATAAGGGACATACTCAGGGGGCAGACTCAGTGAGCACCAAAGCCCCACTGAAGCAAGTCTTGCCCCAGAAGGGTGTCTCCAGCACAGAAGTTCTCCCACTGTAGACACAGCAGATTCTCACAGCCAATTGGCCTGGAGGTCAATTCCTCCCAGTGATACCTACAACAATCAAGGCTTAACTACAACAAGACTGTGCACAAAGCCCACAAAGGGGAGCACCAAGAGTGTCCACCTTTGGGGTCAAAAGCAATATCCACAAAATGGGTCAGAGGCAAGGGGCTGTGATGCCTAGAGGCACAGAGCAGGTGTGAGGTGTTCACTCACAAAAGCCAGGAGCAGAGAACCCCCACACTGAGCTACGCAGGTTGCATTCAAGCAGATTTCCCCCTCCCTCCAAAATTGGGGAGGCTGAGCCACTGGGCACTACAGGACACCTAGCACAGAAAGCCACTCTATCAACACAGGGAAGCATAAAAAATGCAGAGACAAAGAAACAGGTCACAAATGACAGAAATGGAGGAAAGTAAACTACTGAATATAGAGTTCAAAACCACACTTTTAAGGTTTTTCAAGAATATTTTAGAAACTGCCGATAAATTTAGTGAGACCCTCAAGAAATCTAGTAAGACCCTCGAGGATATGAACAAGGACCAACTAGAAATTAAGCATACACTGACTGAAATAAAGAATATTATACAGAGTTCCAACAGCAAACTAGAGGATCGCAAGAATCAAGTCAAAGATTTGAAATACGAAGAAGCAAAAAACACCCAACCGGAAAAACAAAAAGAAAAAAGAATCCAAAAATATGAAGATAGTGTAAGGAGCCTCTGGGACAACTTCAAGCGTACCAACATCCGAATTATAGGGGTGCCAGAAGAAGAGAGAGAGCAAGATATTGAAAACCTATTTGAAGAAATAATGACAGAAAACTTCCCCTACCTGGTGAAAGAAATAGACTTACAAGTCCAGGAAGCGCAGAGAACCCCAAACAAAAAGAATCCAAAGAGGACCACACAAAGACACATCATAATTAAAATGCCAAGAGCAAAAGACAAAGAGAGAATCTTAAAAGCAGCAAGAAAGACAGTCAGTTACCTACAAGGGAATACCCATACGACTGTCAGCTGATTTCTCAACAGAAACTATGCAGGCCAGAAGGGAGTGGCAAGAAATATTCAAAGTGATGAATAGCAAGGCTGAACCTACAACCTAGATTACTTTACCCAGCAAAGCTATCATTCAGAATTGAAGGTCAGATAAAGAGCTTCACAGATAAGAAAAAGCTAAAGGAGTTCATCACCACCCAAACCAGTATTATATGAAATGCTGAAAGGTATCCTTTAAGAAGAGGAAGAAGAAAAAGGTAAAGATACAAATTATGAACAACAAATACACATCTATCAACAAGTGAATCTAAAAAATCAAGTGAATAAATAATCTGATGAACAGAATAAACTGGTGAATATAATAAAATCAGGGGCATAGAAAGGGAGTGGACTGACTATTCTGGCGTGGGGGAGGAGGGGTGTGCGTGGTGTGGGAAGAGACTGGACAAAAATCGTACACTTATGGATGAGGACAGTTTGGGGCGGGGGGTAAGGGCAGAGGGTGCGGTGGGAACCGGGTGGAGGGGAGCTATGGGGGAAAAAAGAGGAACAACTGTAATAATCTGAACAATAAAGATTTAATTTTTTAAAAAAGAAATGAAATAATTGGGGGGGATAAAAGAATGATGGACTGCAAAGGGAGCAGCAAGGGGTGGGGTTTCCTGAAGGGATCATGGTAGGGACTAGGATCTCTGAATGTGTGACTCCAAGAGGAATGAGAGAGGATGGGGGCCCAGGGGCCTGGGAAGAGGGGAATTTCAGGCTGTGGGGACAAAATGATGGCCTAGGACAGTGATGGTGAACCTTTTGAGCTCGGCGTGTCAGCATTTTGAAAAACCCTAACTTAACTCTGGTGCCGTGTCACATATAGAAATTTTTTGATATTTGAAACCATAGTAAAACAAAGACTTATATTTTTGATATTTATTTTATATATTTAAATGCCATTTAACAAAGAAAAATCAATCAAAAAAATGAGTTCGCGTGTCACCTCTGACACGCGTGTCGTAGGTTCGCCATCACTGGCCTAGGATGAACAGATCCAGAAGTTCAAGAGACCGGGTTAGCACAAGTTGGAAAGGGCTTGATTCTATTTGTAATCAAGACTGGTTTGCAGGGATTTGTGGAAGGGAGAGGGGCTATAAGAAGGCATGGACTCTGGATTCCTGGTGAGTGGGGAGCAGAAGGGAACCCCTGGAAGGATACCACGCCCAGAGGTGGGGGTGGGCAGGACACTCACGAGGTGATGGCCATTTCCACGAGCATGAGGGAGCGAGGGATCCAGAGCCCGAAGCAGCAGAACACAGACACCACCTGGGAGAGGAGCAGGAAGCTGGTTCAGGGGAGGGAGACTTTGTGCTCACCCTCTTGAAGCTTTTGTGACAAGAGCTCAAGGAAGCCAAACCTAAACATTTGAGGGACTATTACTTTAGTGGCCAGCTGGAAATATCACTAATGGAAATTTTTTAAAAATTTAATTCAGCTGTCAGTTCCTTCTATGTCTAGGGTTAGAGACAGCATGTCACCTTCAGCCAGGGTTTTTTTGTTTTTTTTTGTAAGACTATCTCATCCTATATCCTTGGGGTAGGAGTAGGTGAGTTCATCCTTAGGAGTAAGTGGATCAAGATTCAACCCTTACTCTTCAACATCCCATGTTATGGGAGTGTCTCTGATGACTTGAGATGGTTTTAGGCAGATGTCATCTGCCAGGAAAGGCCCTCAAGTGCCCCACTCTGCTCCAAATAGACACACAGAGCTCACCAGAAGGAAACGGAAGTCCAATCTTATGATCTACCAGCAAGCCAAAGGCCAATATAGTGACTGTGGGAATTTTAAAAGCCTACAATGTAAGGATAGAGCTAAGTATGACCCCATGAGGAAAACATTCTTTCCCTCCTGCTCTCTGCGGAACCGCTGCTTGCCTGGACAGAGAGGAGGCTTGCTTTTAACAGCAACACCCTGGGGAGTAGCGATTGGGCCACTGGTGGCAGAGCGGTTTCTTTAGTTGTCTCTGTGGCTCTAAGAATTCCAACACTCCATCCCACTGCCTGGGGCCTTCCAAGCAAATGGAGATTCGATTAGAAACCCCCACCTAAGGCGGTAGAGGCAGGAACTCTTTGCTGATTGGAATTGTTGAGTTTAGAGGAATTCTCAAAAAGGGTCCCTGTCTCCTCCTCAGTCCCTCCCAAAGGGCAGCTGCAGGCCCTCACCGTGGGCGCAGAGCTGCTCCAGAGCAGAGTCCTTCGCTTGATGGGGCAACGGGTGTTCTTGTACAGGTAGACGGCGTCCTCCAGGAAGATGGCAATTGAGCCCAGGGCAAGCAAGGTCATGGTGGCCGTGAGGGCAATCTCCAAAGGGCCCAATGCTAACGTGGAAAGAGGGCAGACTCCAGTGAGTTGATGACCAGGACTGAGGAGCAGAAATGTGGCTTCCTCACTTGGATCTAAATGGCTTTACCATACGTAGAATTATCTGGCCTAGGCCTATCCATGCAGAAGAATGGCTTCTTCTTAGACCTAGAAAACTTAACATGTGGCTAAGAAATAGTCATTCCACTGCATGGATGGGAGACAAGACCAGATCATTTTAGGTATGTTGACACTTACCTGAGCCAGGGTATAGACACCAAACAGGTTTTTATATACTTAGCAAAAAATTTGGATTAGGAGTTCACTTTTCTACCTCCAGTGCCAGGTGTCATGCTCGCAAACAGGGGCCAATTAGCATTATAACCGAAGCAGGATGTGATATAGTGGTATACTTTAGAGCTGTTTAAAATTGATTTCAAAAATTATGTCGTGAAACTGGAACATCAAAAAGGGATTTTAGCAAAAGAGAAATGGACACAAGACTCCAAGGACCTTCAACCCATGTTGGCCCCACACTTTGTCTTACATTAAATGTGGTCCAGTAGCTCTCTCTCTCTCTCTCTCTCTCTCTCTCTCTCTTTCCTAATCCTCACTTGAGGATACGTTTTTATTGATTTTTAGAGAGAGAGAAAGGGAAAGAGAGAAACATTGATCATTTGCCTCCCATATGCGCTCTGACCCGGATTGAACCTACAACCTGGGTATATGCTCTAATCGGGAATTGAACTCACAAACTTTTTGTGTATAGGATGATGCTCCAACCAACTGAGCCACCCAGCCAGGGCCCAGAAGGTCTCTTTAGTTTATTACATTCATTTGAGGAGTTGTTAGAAAGTAGCTGTCCAGGCCCTGCCCTCAGAGTTGCTGCTCCAGTAGATCTGGGATAGGCCCAGTAACTGTATTTTTAACAAGCTCACCTGATAATGGTCAGGAGATAAGCGTTTTGACAAATACCAGTGAAACTCCTCAGGTCTCACTACTGCTAACAGGGAAACATTAATCTAGTTATAATATGTGTTTCTGAACATGTGACTCATAAATGCAACAACTCGTTTTAAAGGGCTCTTTGTCCTTAGTGAGTAAGCCTGGGCCCTCATTTATCTAAGTCCCTTCCCTAGGTGGCAGGCTCTCTCCTTCCCACCTCCTACCTGGCCAGATGAGAGGAAGAAGGGGGAAAGGAAGACTGTCAGAACCCAGTCCACTGTCCTCCTGCATTGGGAGTAGAGTATGAGGAAGGTGTTGGTTAGGTGCCTTACGTTTGGTGACTGAGGACAGCTCAGTCAGAGAGATAATACTGCTGAAACCAAGCCAGGGAGGAAGGAGACCACAGCACAGCAGAGAACTGAGTTGTCATCTGGATCAGTCATACCTGGTGTCACCACAAGGAGCACCAGGTCAAAGGTGAAGCTGTCAAAAAATATCACATCTGCCCTACCAGTTTGGCTCAGTGGATCGAGTGTCGACCTGTGGACTGAAGGGTCCCAGGTTCGACTCCGGTCAAGGGCATGTACCTTGGTTGTGAGCACATTCCCAGTATGGGGTGTGCAGGAGGCAGCTGATCGATGTTTCTCTCTCATCGATGTTTCTAACTCTCTATCCCTCTCCCTTCCTCTTTGTAAAAAATCAATAAAATATATTTAAAAAAAATAAAGGTGATATAGGTTGGAACAGTGGTCATTGTAGAAACATTAAGTGGGAGAGTTTAAGAGACCCTACTGGATGCCGGAAATGTTCTACAGGTTGATCTGAGTGGTGGTTTCACAGGTGTACATCTAGGTACAAATTCGTCAAGCTACATACTTAAGATCATTGCCTTTTATTGCATTAATTATATCTTTAAAAAACCTTATGTGGACAGAGCAGAATGAAAAATTAGCACAGTAAATTATAACCATGTTTAAAGGAATTAATTGGGGAGAGAAAGGCACAAAAATGTTAAGGAAAGAGTGAGGCACTAATATCTTTATCTTACAAAATGGAAAGTCAAGACGCACTCTCCATAGTTGGCAGAATAAGAAATAAACTATCGGTATGTATATAAAGCTGTAAAGATAACCAACAAAAAATATTGCCATAATTATATGGAGAGAATGGAAGAAAGTTGGTGCTAAGTGAGCTAAATCCTTATGTATCATAAAGCAGCAACAGATAATGTCCAAAATTGATATTCTAGGAAATAATGGTGTGCACATGTTGGTGATTTGAAGGTAACTATAAAAAGAAACATCAGCTATAAAAAAAACAAACAAGAGGAGGAAGATTAGAAATGGGAAAGCAAAGGGCAGGGGATTGTTGATTTTCATAGTAGCCCTTTTATACTATTTGATTTTTAACCATGTTCATGTATCACTTTGATAAAATAAAAATATTTAAAAATAATTGTGTAGAAAAAACCTAGAAATACTAAAAAAAACACAACAAATGAAAACACATTAGCAATGCTGTCTTTGGGTGATGAGAATGTGGGTTTTTAAATAGGACATAAAATTATAGGTATAGCCATAACCGGTTTGGCTCAGTGGATAGAGCATCGGCCTGTGGACTGAAAGGTCCCAGGTTCGATTCCGGTCAAGGACATGTACCTTGGTTGCAGGCACATCCCCAGTTGGGGGTGTGCCGGAGGCAGCTGGTCGATGTTTCTCTCATTGATGTTTCTGACTCTCTATCCATCTCCCTTCCTCTGTAAAAAATCAATAAAATATAAAAAAAAGAAAGAACAAATATTTTTTAAAAAATTATAGGTATAGTATGATTCCTAATCCTATCTAATAAAAGAGTAATATGCAAATTGACCATCACTCCAACACACAAGATGACTGCCCCATGTGGTCAAAGATGGCCGCCACAAGATGGCCAGCAGAGGAGGGCAGTTGTGGGCGATCAGACCAGCAGGGGAGGGCAGTTAGGGGTGACTGGGCCAGCAGAGGAGGGCAGTTGAGGGTGACCAGGCCTGCAGGGGAGGGCAGTTAGGGGTGACCAGGCTGGCAGGAGAGGGCAGTTAGGGGTGACTGGGTCAGCAGGGGAGGGCAGTTAGGGGCAATCAGGCTGGCAGGGGAGCAGTTAGGCATCGATCAGGCTGGCAGGGGACTGGTTAGGGGCAATCAGGAAAGCAGGCAGGTGAGCGGTTGGGAGCCAGCAGTCCTGGATCGTGAGAGGGATGTTCTACTGCCCGGGCAGTGGGATCGAGCCTAAATGGGCAGTCGGACATCTCTCGAGGGGTCCCAGATTGGAGAGGGTGCAGGCTGGGCTGAGGGACACACAGCTCCCCCCACCCCGTGCACAAATTTCATGCACTGGGCCTCTAGTACTGTTCAATAAAAGCACAGAAAAAGGAAATACACGGTGAGATTAGCAGTGCCTGTCTCTGAGTGGTGGGACTATAAACAACTTTTCCTCTTTTTACTTTTCTGGATTTTCATATTTATTTTTCTGAATTATTTTTATAATAGAAATATTTAGTTAAAAAAAAATACACACCCAAGAAAAAGTCCAAATAGGTAGAAACCAAAATCAATTCAGTAGATTCCTAAACACCAATGTCCGTTGTTGGGAGAGGCAGTCACTGCTGGAGGCCTCTCCTTGCCTGACCCCCACTCCCTACCTGACTCCTGTCCTCCCTGAGAGCAGAGTGGAAACGGCCCTTTCTCAGGCAAGCCGTCATGGCCCAGTCCTTTCCAGTCTTCACTGCCCTTGAACACCCCTCCTCCTTGCAAAGCTTCCCTCCCCTTGACTCAGAACCACAGTCCCCTCCTGGCCTCTGACCCTCCAAGTCTCCTCTGCTGATTCCTCATCCTTTCCCACACCCTCTGTTCTCCAGACTCAGTCACTGCAGCTCATCTTCTCTGTGTTTAGGGGTTTGGAATTTCCCTACCACTCCTTCCCAACTGCCACATGAGCGCTCCCACCTCCAGGACTTTACACTGGGCTTCTGCTGGTTCAGCTTTTCTCCCCGAGCTCCCAGCTGGCTCCTCATCACCGAGTCTCTGCTCCAATGCCCCTCAGCCAGCTCCTCTAGGCAGTGTGGTCTGCCCTCCCCCACTGAGGTCATGTGCATGTGAATTTACTTGCTTGGTGTCTGTCCTCTCACCTTAGTGTACACGCCACCAAGGCAGGGACTTCGTTAGTCTTGTTCTCCCTTCTGTCTCTAAGTGTTTAAACTATTTGTTGAATGAAAGAAATAACCCCAAGAGAATCCCTATTGTCATCTCCATTTTATAGGCTTTTCCAGGAAACAAAGCTTAGAGCAGTGGTTCTCAACCTGTGGGTCGCCAACCTATGGGTCGCGACCCCTTTGGGGGTCGAACGACCCGTTCACAGGGGTCGCCTAAGACCATCGGAAAACACATGTATAATTACATATTGTTTTTGTGATTAATCACTATGCTTTCATTATGTTCAATTTGTAACAATGAAAATACATCCTGCATATCAGATATTTACATTATGATTCATAAGAGTAGCAAAATTACAGTTATGAAGTAGCAATGAAAATAATTTTATGGTTGGGGGTCACCACAACATGAGGAACTGCATTAAAGGGTCGCAGCATTAGGATGGTTGAGAACCACTCTTAATCACCTTGCCCGGGGTCACACAACCTTGAAGTGAACCCAGGGGTTCCTGACGCTAAACCCATACTCTCAACCATTACACACACTGACTATTGGTTGTGTTCACATAGATATGGGAGGGCGTGTGGAGTGATGGAAACAACCAAATGCAACCCTAAAAGATGGTTTAATTTATGAGGGAGGGTGGGGCATATTCTGACTGTTCGGTGTAGGAATGCTTTGCACTGTCTTGAACTGCTGGCTTGGTACTCTATTCTTCCTCACACTGGCAGGATCTTTAGGCTCGGGTACCCACTTCCACAGTGCAAAGGCTGAGAGAGAAGTTCCCTCACATCCATAGCCTGACACCATTGCTCTCCATCAAACTTACTTATCTTCTTAGAAGATTTGTGTCCTACCTTATTTTTTTTTTATATTTTAACTGA